GAATACGCTCCAGGAGAAGAACTCAAAAGATGGACTACCGTGGAGATTCCCGAGATCTTTTTCTTTCCTAAGTAATTTGTTTTGTTTTTGAAAGAACCTATGTCAAGCCCGGGGCATAGGGGTTGCTTGTAAGGGTTCCCCCGTTTTGTTTCAAACAATATTTACGATTAATAAAAGTGATATTTTGTTTTCAATTAAGATCCTTGTTGTGATACGATGAGAGAACTGACTTGGGTGTTTTGCGTTTTATCACAAATTTTGCGGTTAGCAAGAGTAGCCACTTACTTTTCTTTTATCCAAAAGGAAAGGCTGAAAAGAACAGGAAAGACCTTTGAGATTATTTCTTGAGTTCGGGGGGTAGATTATGAAAAGGGAAGGTGTTAGCACCCTTTTCATCCATAGTTATCTATGGGCTCTTAGTTGCTTTCTAAATAACTTGCTTTTGTTTAAAAATGTGCTTTGTGTGGTTTTTGAAAGTATTTTGAAAAGGAGCCATCGTTTAGGCAAACTTTGTAATAATTCTCATTCGTAAGAATGTATACAAAGTGTTGATCTTTTAAAAATGTTTCAAGTTTGGAAAGTGTTTTGAAAGTGTTGGTGTTTGTTTTGAAGATAAGCCAGAGTGTTTGATTTGAAATTGAGCAAGCAACTAGGAACAATCTACCTACTCATAAGTATTAGTTCATTTCTTCCTATCCTTTGATATTGTTATCTTACCATTGATTTGGTAAGAAATCCTATCTTTGGATGTAAAGGGACGGGCGTGGGTCATCGTATAGCCATGATAGCAATGTTGTGAGGTATCTTAGCAATTATCTTTGAGGGACTAAGATCATTTTGAAAGGCAAAATTTGATAGCGTCATCGAGGGACTATGATCTTGTATTTTTTTATTACTTTTTGCTAAGATATCCCACATGCATAACATGGCCATTTTTACAAGGCAACAAAGTGGAATTACCCTAAGGGTGTAAGTATGCAAGTGTGTTGATTTGCATGCTTTGTTTATCTTGGAATTAGGGTTTGCTAACTTGTTGATTTTTATCTTTCCATACAAACCCTAATTTACTAGCATTTATATATAAAGCATTAAATTGCGGAAAATAAAAATACTAAGCTATTACATCAATAGGGGAGGGGTGTACAAATTTACAAATGGGGGAATTGTAAGAAAATTAAATCTAATTAATTATTACAACCATATTGAATATTGTACAAAATTTGAGATAAAATGCAAGAATACAAAATGGAAAAAAGAAATGCTTTTTATTTGATTTTATGAAAGGTTTTAATTAACAAAGAACATAAGTTAAAAAATGATTTTTAGGGTTTTTTTATGAAAAGGTTTTTAAATTAAAAAATATATGAAAATTAATTAATTGAAATAAACCTAAGTTCTACATTAATTTTAATTAAAAGGAAGAAAATAATATAATAATTAATCTGAAGTCTAAATATTACTTAATAAAAAGAAATTTATTTGTTAAAAGAAAATGTTTTTGGTCTTTTTTGTATTTATAGAGAAAATAAAATAAGCAAGTATAAATAATAAATAAAATATTTTTTTATATTTTTATTAATAAATAATAATAATAATAATAATAATAAGTAATAGGAAAAATAAAATAATAAAGTAAAGAAAAAGAAATAATGAAATAATAAAAATAAAGAGGGCCAGGGTATATGAAACATAATCAGGGGGGGGGGGAAGTCAGCAAAAATAAAGGCCCAAAGGATGAAGGCCCAGCACCTGTTACAAACAAAAAAAGAGAGAAAAAACAGAAAATATAATTAAAAAAATGGTAAAACGGACGTTGGGGCACGGACCCAGGTCCAAGGGGTGACATGTGCGCGCTTTAACCACTGGGGTGGTGATACATCCGTTAACTTGTACACAATAATAAATACATAACACAAATTTGCCCTGACTGTACTTCATCTTCAACCTCCAGTCAAAGGATCTGTAACTTGTTCATTCTTCAACCATTTTCATAAGTGTAAACATGAAACTTGTGTATTTTTCCACCGCGAATCCAACCATGTAACTAACTTAAGCTAACATTCAAAGATAAGGATGAATTTATGAAAGTAACAAATTTTGACCTAAATGTTTCAGCAAGTTCAAACTCAAAATTCTCCATGCTCAAGCAAAATAAATGAAATCTATGGACATGTATAGTTTCAGGGCAATGATACCTACATTCTATCTTCACAAATGTAAGCCTAATAATGCCTAAATAATGAGATAGAAGTTCAAGAAAAATACCTCAAAACTGGAAATTGTGAAATGAGTTTGAGCTTGTTTCAAGTGATGATGATGATCAAGTTAGCTTCCTTGAACCTCTAGGAAGCTAATGCAATGCTTACTTGATGCTGGGAGTGCTTGAAATCGTGCTAGAGAAGTCAAGATGCAAGATTTGTTTTTTGGTTATGGAAGTGGATGAAGATGGTGTTACAGTTGGATAACAGGTGTTGGGATTGTTTATGTATGATGCTTAGAAGCTTTTGGAAGCAAAAGGTCAAGAAACGCACGAGGGAAATGAAAGTTTGAAGTTCTTGGTCAAAATATGCAACAATGGTGGTTTGAGATGCAGTTCTGAGTTTGGGGAAGTTTGAGAGCTTGTGTATTCGCGTGTTAGCTTGTAAAAAACTTGTGCATATTGAAACAACCGGCTGAAAATCATCAAACAATGAAGTCGCCATCGAACGTCTTTTATCTCACATGAAGGGAAAGGTAAACATCGATTAAACCTAAGAAGGGTGAAATCAAGGTTGAACGACCGAGAGGTAAGGGTAAGGGAGTCTATTATGTGAGGGGAAGGTATTATCACCCCACACGCCCGTAGTACTCTATGGTATCCACTCTTGTTATCTATCTTATGGATGCGTTTAATCTATGCTTATTGTTTATTACTGCTAAAGGGAGAATGCATGCAAAAGAAAAGGAGAAAAGAATGTAGGGAAAATAAAAGTTGTGCTTGCTCGGGCCCTACCCTAATGCCTACGTATCCCTTTTAAGGAATCAGAGCAGCCGTAGTTCAGCTTCAAAAGTTTTTGTTGGTTTGTATTTTTTAATGAACAATATTAATTTCGCCTTCTGCCGCAACTCGACCTTTATATACTTACGCGTCAGCACTGGAGTGAATTAACTTGTTCTTTTGGAAAGGTTTTGAAAGAAAATCCCGTAGGTAAAAGAGTTTGTGTTGGTTATTGTTTTTTCTTGTGGATAACAACTAGTTAATCTCAAGAGAGAGATATTAGCCATTTCTCTACTTATTCATGAAATAAGTCTTTGAGACTTGAACCATACCTAGGCTTAGAATGAAAAAAAAACAATAAGATCGAGAAGAGACCCTCTTATCATTTCCCATGCTCAACAAAGGTAAGATTCTCATCAGTAATCTTGAAGTGTTTTGAAGTTTGCAAGAAAAAGAAGTTTTTATTTTAATGCAAATGCAAAAGAAATAAAAACATCTAAGGGAGACTAACCTAAATCTAATCGCTAATGTTATCATACAATGATGGTCCTATGGTTGAATTTTGAAGGGAAATCTCTACCCTATGTTGACATGCTTGGACAAAAATCCTAATGTCTATCTCAAATCATCATCTATAGATGAATCAAGAAGTCATAAAGGAGCATAGCAAGGGTCTATCACCTAAAACTATGTCTATCTCGAATCATCATCTATATTTGAATCGAGAGCTCCTAAGGGAACATGCCGAAGGTATGTCATCTCAAAACATGCACACAGATGAAATCAAACAAACAAGCCAAAAAGCTCAAGAGTGCACACCTAGAGAGATCCTATCTAGGTTAGCATGTCAAAGAAAGTCTAACAAAACTATCCTATAGGGAACATGCAATGAGAGCGAAGTCGTGATCTCAATTTTCAAATTGAGTGACTCATCGATCAACAAGAAATAAAGGAAAGCAATGAAATCCTATAGGGAGCATGCACTGAGAGTGAAGTCGTGATCTCAATTTCTAAATTGAGTGACTCATCGGCCAACAACCAAGGAAACAAACACAAGCACAACACATATAGTAAATGAAGTGCGGAATGCCTGCTACAGGTCTTTAAACAGCGACTTCGAGCGCACGCTCTTTATTTCCTACTTCTCATGCTATCTAGAAAGAAGTAAAGTGAGAAATAAGATAAACAAGATAAAATACCAAACGCATATTAATCTGTAGAAAAGCGTATCAAAACAAAGGAACCCGATAATCTTCGCGAAAGGTAGCACCAATAACAAGATAGTCAGAAGAATATTCAGTATGAATCTCATGCCATGGTGAAAATAAACCACAAGCAATAGTAATGAGCCGTGAAGAAGCTCTTTCCAAAAAAACTTGCACAATTTAACAAAAGTGTGAGCAAATAACAAGGCAACATGATTTAAACTCAAACATCCAATTTACAACTCAAAAGGATACTAAAATACAAGCACGAAAATATCCTCAATTATTTACAAGATTAAACTAAAAAAGATTAAGGAAACTAATAGTAAGAAACCTAATTAATTTCTAAAACTCAAAACAATTCTAAGGGATTAACATTCTACCAATTGTTTTATCATTTTATTATCTTTTGTCCTTAATCAATTCCTAACTTTATTCACAAAAATTGAATAAAAAAAACTAAAATAAAATTCAAATAGAAAGGGGGTGCGATCCTGGATTGGTATATGGGTATGAATTCATCGATCCACTCCAGGAGCTAAGTCCCTAAGTTATGGCCCATAGCTGAATTTTGTTATGTTCAGCCAAGGTTACCAAATAAATCGTAGCATACGGGCCAAAGGGGATCCGGTTCAATAACACCCTCACTACAAATTTTCATTCCAGTTTATTCACAAAAATTAAAAAAATTTAAAAAAAAAAACTAAAACTAAAACAAAAGAGAGTTAGGGTTGTTGTGACATTCCCCATTCTTCTTCTTAGACTACGAAACGGAATCGCGACTCCCTCAGTTCTCCGTTCAACATTCCGCCACCGCAATGTCTCTGTTCTCGTCTCAAATCGTCTTATCTCAACACGGTATGGCTATCGTCTATGCTTCAGTCGCGGATTCTCTGACAAGTCCTCTTCGAATTGCCGGATTCAACCCCTTTCTCCCTCATATGAGATGTTCTTTTTCCTTCCCAGATTCGCCTCAACGCACGGCCTCCATCTTGCTTCATCGTCTTCTCGAGACTTCTCTCTTTTGCCTCACTAAACTCGCTCTGATTCGCGTCAATCTCCGTTGTACCTTTTAGTTCAAGATCTAAGCGAAACAAAAATCGTTAGAGGAATAATTGAGGAGAACTTACCGACCGAATAAAACATATGCTGCTTCTTCGATTTGATGAACACGATGAGAAAACCACAGAAAACTGACTCAGGTACGTATACTTCTTCTCTTTCCACAATCTTCTTCAATTCTTCATTTCTCAGTGATTTCTGCGTTAATGAGAGCGTGAATTCGCCATTAGCAATCTGTGATATCGTTGCGATCTTGTTGCAGGTTCACAGTCATGAGGTAGATAAACGGAGTTTGGTAATGATGTACAAAGGAGTTGTATTGGTGATGAAGGTGATTAAAGATTGATGATGAAGAAGATTGTGAAGAGTTGAGAGTTCTATAGTTTTTTTGTGGAGTTTCTGTGTAATTCTTCTCCAAGAATTGAAGAATGAATGAGAGAATGTGAGGATTGAGGATTGCCGAGAGTTTTTTTTTGGTGTTTTTAGTGATGAAGGTGAAGATGGAGAGTGAATGCAGGAAGAAGAGGAAGAGAGAGTTTCAGAGAATTTCTTCTGGTATTTTTTCTGAATGAATCCTCTTGAATCCAAGTCACCTTAGGTTAGTTGAATCTTGTTAGAAACTGGTCATATACTGTTAGTGAACTGGATTCGTTTCATCTGTTTGATAATACAGTGGTTTGTGAATTGGATTGGTTATTCTATTTTCCTGTTAGTTTGGCAATTAACTGTCAGTTTTGGCCTACTGCTATTTTTCCCATTATTTTCTAATTTTTGATTTTGTGAACTGGAAACCTCTTGTTTCTGATTTGCTCGGTTATGCCATCTGCTAGCTTTGACAGTTAGTTTGTTTGAAACTCTATTATGACAATTAGGATTAGTTTGAATCGGTTTGAAGTTAGGCTTAGCATAAATCTCGTTAGTTTTTGCTTCTGTTTTTTTTTGCAAGGCTGATTGTTGGTCTATTATGCTAAGTTTGAAACAGGATTCATCACAGCGACTGCCTTAGCATGACGCAGAGGACGTCTTGGAGCGGTATTCATCAAGTCTTTTTGGAACTTATTTGGTATGATTTAGACAACTGTAGGAAGAACTACTTTGGTTTAACCCCCAGTTTGATTTGTAAATTTGAAAGAAAACATGGCACTTGATTGAGACACGGAGGCGGAGAGTATGGCAAGCTGGGCTTCACATTCTCACATGGTCTTTTGCCAATCCTTGAAATGGCCACGATATTCATATTTTGAGCTTCTCGCCTTATTATTGGTGTAATGAATTGAGTTTGTAAATGACAATGGTGTACTCTAACACGTGAACTTTGAACAAACTTTCCTTGACATTTCGCATGAAATTGTAGCTCTTGATCATGAATACAGTTTAAAATATTTAGAATTCAATATCAATCTTTTTAAGTATTCCAAAGTGTATGTCCTTCCCCCTCAAGTTGAATTTGAATTTCACTTAATTGCCTTTTGACCTTGTAAATGAATTCCCGTTTCATTGATCCTGAAATACCATTGATAGAATAATAATGAACATCGCGAACTTTGATGATGAATGTGTTTGAACCATAATTTCACAATATTATTTCTTTACCCAATATTTCACGCTTATCACGACTCAAAAATATCAATGAATGAGAATACCCATGCACTAAAACCTTCTTCCAATTTCCCTTTTGACATTTAGAGCTTTCTTTTTGATTTTGCAATATAGAATGAATCTCAAATGAAACTTGATTTCTTACGAATTTTGTTTGAATCAGGAATCTTAAATATCAATCAAACTTCATTCTATGTTTGCACCAATGGATCCATATAGGAAAATCCCAATAGCTTAAACTTAACTTTGAAATGATCTTATATCAAATCCACAATATTTTCTTGCAAAGCACTTAACCAAATGAAACAACCTTCTCCTGATGATCCACAACACTCAACTGTGAGGTGAACTCCATGAATGTCAGGAAACCAAAACCTCCATATCCATTTGATGACCAATATCACAACAAAGTGAATCCCTGCCCATGAATAAATCTCAAACCCCATGCATTTCTTTGAAGAAAATCACTATGCAAAATCCCAACTTGTGATCGAGGATCCCTGAAGAAGAACCTCCATTAGAGTATGATAATTGAAGAAAGTTTCGATCTTTGTTCGCACATAGAGAGATGGACCCTAATAGCCTTGTAGCTTGATGAGAAGAAGTCCAAAAATGATCATGAACCAAAACCCTAATTCCATTGTCTTTTGAATCTCAAATACTTTTTGAATGTAATGCATGCTATGTTAGTGACCTAATGGAATATATACAACTGAATGCAAAGTCCAAACCAGAATAAGAGAAATTAGGAGGGCAAATTTTGGGGTGTAACAACTTCCCCTATTTAATCGTCTTAAACATGGAAGTGAGATTGACGCTATCCTTTCAAACTTTCAAGGTGGAAGAAGATTAAATACTAAAAAGAACCCGGAAATTTGCACTCCGAAGCCAGTCAAGTATTATTATACTTTTTGGTTTTCTGTATTTTTATTTATTATTATTTTTTGCTATTATTTTTGGATTACAGTAGTTAGCTGAGTAAATCTCTTGGATATCAGGTCAAGGTTAGACATACGCAAGAGAGAGGCCGACCGAAGAAGGCTTTGACGAAGGCACACCAATCGAAGGAGAACTTACCGGGGGCACAAATATACATTGACTTTGAATAGAACGCTGATCAAAGGCGAACTTACAAAGCAGAGAGACCAGTCGAAAGGGACTCCTAACGAATGATACCAGCCGAAGGTGGATTTAAAGGGGAAAGAACGTCGATTAAGGGAAAATTTACAAAGAAAAGAGATCAGCCGAGGGTGACTCTTAACAAAAGGTACCAGCCGAAGGTGGACTTTAAGGGTAAAGAAACCAGCCGAAGGGGAATCTTTAACAAGGAATACTATGCCGAAGGTAGATTCCTAAGGAAAGAACGTAGATCAAAGGCGAACTTTCAACTGAAAAGAGACCAGCCGAAGGTGACTTTCAATAAAAGATACCATCCGAAGGTGGATTTGATGGGCGCCAGCCGAAGGTGGACTTCAGGGTAAAGAAACCAACCGAAAGGGAATCTTCATCAAGGAATACTATGCCAAAGGTAGATTCCTAAGAAAAGAACGTCGATCAAAGGTGAACTTTCAACTGAAAAAAGACCAGCCTAAGGTGACTCTCAACAAAAGATACCAGCCGAAGGTGGATTTGATGGGAGCCAGCCGAAGGTGGACTTCAGGGTAAAGAAACCAACCGAAGGGGAATCTTCATAAAGGAATACTATGCCGAAGGTAGATTCCTAAGGAAAAACGCCGGACAAAGGCGAACTTACAATGAAAAGAGACCAGCCGAAGGTGACTCTTAACAAAAGGTACCAGCCGTAGGTGGATTTAACGGGTGCCAGCCGAAGGTGGTCTTCAAGATAAATAAACCTACCGAAGGGGAATCTTCATCAAGGAATACTATGCCGAAGGTAGATTCCTAAGGAAAGAACACCAGACAAAGGCGAACTTACAATGAAAAGAGACCAGCCGAAGGTGACTCTTAACAAAAGGTACCAGCCGAAGGTGGATTTTAAGGATAAAGAAACCATACGAAGGGGAATCTTTAACAAGGAATACTATTCTGAAGGTAGATTCCTAAGGAAAGAACACCAATCAAAGGCGAACTCACAAGGGATAAAGATATGCATATCTGGTCAGAGTTAGACACACAAGAGAGAAATTGAGCATCAAGAAACAAATGTTTGGAGTTGATAGTGAACACAAGAATGAGACTAACCGAAGAAATCCCCAACAAGAAAGGATGCATTCGCCTAAACAAGGACGCCAGACAACTGGACCTTGAAGAGACACTAAAGGAATCTTAACATAAAAGGTTTAGCTAAGCTAACGAAAGGAGGACCCGACTAACGCAGATAAACCAAAACAAGGAACCGACTAAACAGGACCTTCAAAGAGCACCAATCGAAGGTGAACTCTACAAGAGAAAGAGACCGGTCAAAGCGAACTCTAACAAGGATTGCCAAAACACGTTGGGCTTTTGATAGGTTGCAAATACGCAAGAACTACAAAATTCCTCAGGCCAAAGGGGGGTGTAATTATTCAAGAGTGGTAATTATCTGAATTACCACACACCAAGTATGGATACTCAAATACTTGAAAAGCGTGAAAGGCTATACACCGACTCTCACTCGCACTCTAACGGCAAAGCAAACACGGGTAAAATAACCAAACGCTTGCAAAGGTAAGCGCAAACCACAAACTTACTGGGGAAATGGAGAAATACCAAAGACCCGAGTGGTGGTGAATCAAAACAAACTCCGCTGGGGAAACATAATAGCATCACCCTAGGCTTGTTGTGTAGATAAATCAAATATGAGCGTATAACAATCTAGTTACAACAGGTGGACATAATTGGCTTATACTCATACATGTTTGAATTTTTTATAGCGTAATGCTCCATACAATGGAAATGCTATGCGTTTTAGTAGATCCGATGTAATGATGCAATGTAATGGTCCATTTATCCTGATAACGGTAATCAATGGTGTTGGCTCATCAAAGCCTAAAACTGCATGGGAAGATGATGATAAGAAGAAAGTTCTCTATGACAAAAAGGCAATAAACCTTATTCAAGGTGCACTTAGCATGGACGAATTCTTCCGTGTCTCGGCATGCAAAACAACAAAGGAAATATGGGATACCTTGGTACAAACTCATGAAGGAACGATTGAAGTAAAAAGATCAAGATTAAATACCCTAAGTCAAGAATACGAACTATTTCGAATGCAGCCCGGAGAAACCATTCTTGACTTACAAAAGAGATTTGTGCACTTGACAAATCATCTAAGTGCTCTTGGTAAAACTTTGATGAATGATGAATTGAATCTGAAAGTACTTAGGTCCTTAACTAGGGAATGGCAACCAAAGGTAACGACTATTTCAGAAAAGAAAAGTCTCTCCAACATGACATCCGCAACACTATTTGGAAA